ACCCAGCAATACCACCACTAGGTCTATACCCCAAAGAGATCAAAAAAAAAAGGAAAAAGACCTACATGTACAAAAATAATTATAGTAGCTCTTTTTTTGTGGTGGCAAAGAATTGAAAATTGAGGGGATATTCATCAGTTGGGGAATGGCTGACCAAGACGCAGCATATTAACTACAATGGAGTATTATTGTGCTATAAGAAATGACAAGTGAGGTGGTTTCAGGAAAAAAACAGAACAAAACATGGCAAGACAATGAGAAGAGGGGCCACTAGGTGGCGCAGTGGATAGAGCACTGACCCTGGAGTCAGGAGGACCTGAGTTCAAATGCAACCTCAGACACATAACACTCACTAGCTGTGTGACCCTAGGCAAATCACTTAACCTCAATTACCTCACCAAAAAAAAAAAAAAAAAAAAGACAGAAGGATCGGGAGATCGTTATGCACAGTAATAGCAATGCTGTAATAATGATCAACTGTGAAAGACTTGGCCACTCTGATCAATATAATGATCCAAGACAATCACAAAAGATTCATGACGAAAAAATGCTATCCACCTCCAGAGAGAGAAAACTGATGAACTCTGAGGGCAAATTTAAGAGTACTTTTCTTGCTTTTTTTTTTAAATGATATCCCTAATATGGAAATGTGCTCTGCTTGATTTCATATGTATAAATTAATTGGTATCATTTAGCTTGCCTTCTCAGTGGGTGGGGGAAACATGGGAGGGAGGAGAGAGTTTGGAACTCAAAATTTAAAAAGAAAGGAACTGTTAACAGGATTTTTACTGAGCCAATCTCTAACCTGAGAATGCCCAGAGCCACACAAAGCAGGCCTAGAAATCGAAGCACCAGCATTCAAGTAGTTTACTAATCAGTTTCTGAGTAAGGAATGTTCTCCTAGCTGAAGTAAAAGTACAGGCCATATAACTAAATCATATCTGGGGAAGAAGGGGGAAAGGAAAGGTGGATTATAAACAATTGTTTAGTGGTTTCCCACTGGGTTTCCCATGAGAAACCCATAAGTCCCACAATACAACAATTCCAGAGTCAAGTCTCTGGGGGTTGTGACCACCACCCTCCAAGCACAGAACCAGAGCTCTGTGAAGGGAACAGGCTCCACAATCTTTGATTCACCCCGCCCAAGGCCCAGACTTTGAGCATTGCCAGTCTGATCACTCCAAGCCAGAGAGCCACCCCCTGAGAAAACCAAACCATTGGCATACCCATTGCACACATCACATCTATCAATATGAAAATTATAAATTCCTTTCTCAGAATGTTAAAACAAATAATAATTTTTTTAAAAAAGAATATTTAAGGGGCAGCTAGGTGGCACAGTACATAGAGCACTGGCCCTGGATTCAGGAGGACCTGAGTTCAAATCCAGCCTCAGATACATAACACTTACTAGCTGTGTGACCCTAGGCAAGTCATCCCATTGCCTAGCCAAAAAAAAATATATTTAAAAAAAATAACAACCACAAAGGAGGGGTTGGACTGGGTTGGCCTCTGGAGTGCCTCTAAATCTAAGATATTGTTGTCAAGATATTAGAAGACACTGTTTTTCAGAGCTAATGCCCAGCAAGCAAGCTGTGCGCTGAGGTTGGCGTAACGACAATCCTTTGCACTCACCCTCTGGCAAAACCACATGATTATTGCATTGCTTTGATGAGCACCAGGTGTTGTCTGAGCTTGGCCAAACACCAGATTAGTTACCTATGTTCCAGTAATGAAACCTTCCTATGAATCAAACTTTTCTCACTGTTGCTGTTACCCCTCATTGTCAGGGCTACAGCTCATTGTACAACCATTAGTATGAGCACTGAGATCTTCCCACACTGCCTTGGGTACTCCCACTAGGGGCAAGGCCCTGGCACATGTGTCTAATTTCCCTCCTTGCTTGCAAATTATTTCCCTCACTTTGAAATTAAACTTCTGTTTGATTCCTGAGTCTCCTATCCCTAGCCTGCTCTGTGTGGTTCTGGCCATCCAGAAGTTAGAGATCAGTTCTATCCAGTTGACATTGGAGAGATTAACAAAGGCTATGTGCTGTGAATTTAGGTGACCAATCTTCTCTTTCCCAACATTTGAAAGTAACCTGAGGGCGCAAACAAATGGAGGCTGAAGGGTTGTGTAAATAAAGAGAGACACTCAGTCTTGAAACACTAGGCTCTTTGGCATATTTATTATATATGGCAACTCTTCTCTTAGAATTTAATTGTGCATACCTACTGCTTTCTGTCTCCTTCCGTTTTCCTTTTCATGGTACCTTGCACCTGAAAATATCTTAAGGCATGAACTGCTGCCCAGAGCTGGGACTGTTTGAATTGAGCAACTGCCCCTATTTCTTGACTTGCAACTTGAGTGACTCAAAAGTAGAAAACTAGGGCTTAGTCAAAGAACCCCAACCCTGTGATCCAACAAAAGGGCCTCTTCTTTCTAACTGGCTACCTTGGTTAGGACTAAGAGAAATCTGAGCCTTGTGGCCCCACACCTGGCATTCCACATACTAATAAGAAATCTAGAGACAAACTTCTGGGAGCCAAGATGGCTGAGTAAGCAGTAATTTACTCTCACTCTCCTTTACTGACCTCTAAAAACCTAGAAAATATCACTCCAGGAAAAATCCTGGAACAGTGGAGCTAGCAGAAAAATGGGGAGGAGCATTATTATTACTATTATCATCATTATTATTATTATTATTAGCCTAGGAGACTTGGGGGATCAGCAGGGAAAGGTCCCTCTTGTTTTGGTGGAAGGGGAGTGCAGTCCAGGACCAGAGGCATCTGGCAAGCCAGAGATCCTGAGCCCCAGGGTGGTGCAACAGGCAACAGCCAACATGAGGACTCTGCTGTGTGCCCTGGCACAGCCAGGGAAACCAGCAGACTCTAGACGGGAGAACCATCATGTGCACTGGCTCCAGCAGCTGAATCTCCCTGGGCTTCAGTCCAGCCATGGCAGACAGACCTCCCCCAGCAGCTGACTTCCACTCCGAAGTGCAGCTTCAGGTGGGCAGGCATCCTCCAGCAGTCAACCCCCCCTCCACATGCTTCACTGCAGCCCTGGAAGAACAGGTGTCCTCCATTGGACGGACCTCTATATGCTTCAGCACAGCCTAGTGGCCAGACCCCTCCCCCTTTCCTGCACTTTAGTGTAGCCCTGGGGAAATGCAGAAAAACCCCATGTGGCCTCAGCACACACAAGACACAACCAGTAGGACCCCAGCTTAGCACCAGGTAAGCCGTCAGACTCCTTCAGCCTCCATCTATCAGTACCTAAGGCCCCAGCACACAAAGCCAGCGACCAGGCCCTTGGTCCCCTGCACAAGAAGCTTGGCACAGTGCCCCATGCTCCAGCAGGAGAGCTCAACTTTAAAAGACAGGAATTCGGCAAACATCATGAGGAAAAAGCAGAAATGGACACTGACCATAGATTCTTTCTATAGGGACAGGGGAGATCAAAACAGAAATTCAGAAATTGTCGATATACCTATATCTGAAACCTCAAAGGGAAATATGAACTGGTCTCAAGCCCAAAAAGCCTTCTTGGAAGAGCTCACGAAGGATTTTTAAAGTCAAATAAGAGAGGTATGCAAGAGAGGGTCAACAGCTTGGAAAAAAGACAAAAACTGACTGTAGAAAACAATTTGTTAAAAAATACAATTGGGAACAAATGCTTAGAATGGGATGAACTCCCCCATAAAATGGAAGCAGACAGCAGAGTGGATTAAAAACCATAATAACATAATATGTTGTTTATAACCAGAAGAAGACAACAAGGTCAAAGCTCCTACATCCAAAGCCTCCAAGAAAAATGTGAATTGGTCCCAGGCCATGGAAGAGCTCAAAAAGGATTTTGAGAAGCAAGTAAGAGAAGTAGAGGAAAAACTGGGAAGAGAAATGAGAGTGATGCAAGAAAATCATGAAAAAATAGTAAAAAAAATACAATTGGCACTACTTGGTCACTCCTAGATCCCTCCCACACTCCTTCTGTATATAAGGTCCATCTAGCCTCTATTACAATGCTCAGATTCTTAAAATCTGGCCCACTTGCATTAGCGGTACAAATGTTTAGATTCCTTAAGAGTCTGGCCAATATGGTGGATCTCTAATAAACCTTATCTTTGGCTGAAAAAAATACAATTGGCCAAACAGGAAAAAAAAAGTCCACTGAAGAAAACAACTCCTTAAAAAGCAGAATTGGCCGAATGGAAAAGGAGACACAAAAACTCACTGAAGAGAAGGACTCCTTAAAAAGTATATAATTGGCCAAATGGAAAAGGAGGTATAAAAGCTAAGTGAAGAAAATGACTCATTAAAAATTAGAGTTGGGCAAGTGGAAGCTAATGATATCAAGAATCAGTCAAACAAAATCAAAAGAATGAAAAAATAAGGGGCAGCTAGGTGGCAGAGCGTATAGAGCTCCAGCCTTGGAGTCAGGAGGACCTGAGTTCAAATCCAGCCTCAGACACTTGACACCTACTAGCTGTGTGACCCTGGGCAAGTCACTTAACCCTGATTGCCTCACCAAAAGACAAAAAAAAAAAAAAATGAAAAAATAAAAGAAAGTGTAAAATACCTCACTGGAAAAACAACTGACCTGGGAAACAGATACAGGAGAGAGAATTTAAGAAGTATTGGTCTACCTGAAAGCCATGATCAAAAAAAGAGCCTATACAGCATCTTTCAAGAAATTATCAAGGAAAACTGCCCTGAGGTCCTAGAACCACAGGGTAAAATAGTCATTGAAAGAATCCACCACTCATCTCCTGAAAGAGATCCCAAAATGAAAACGCCAAGGAATATTGTAGCTAATTTCCAGAATTATCAGATCAAGAAGAAAATATTGCAAGCAGCCAGAAGGAAACAATTTAAGCATCGTGGAACCACAGTCAGGATTATGCAGGACCTTGTAGCTTCTACATTAAAAGATTGGAGTTGGGCAAGTGGAAGCTGGAAGATGTTAATCACCTGTCTGTACACCTTCTGTTTACCCATTTCAAGTTCAGAAATTTGGCTGGGAGTAGAAAGGAAGTAGCATAAGGGAGAGTTCATGCCATAAGATATGCTTAAATCCCAACTAGGAAAAGCTCACTAAAAAAACCGTGGCTAAAATTGGGTTATGACAACATGGGACTCTGCATCTCTTTCCTGTTAGTCCACTCTACATACTGTTTTTTTAACATTTCAAATTTCCAGTCCCAATCTGAAAATGATCCTTCTTGTTCTTGTTAACTTGTTTCAGTTTCTGATTCTGCTCTCAGAGCTGTATTGCTTACTTAGTAACTACAGCAAGGTAGTCCAAGGGTCCAGCTTTCCTTGTTGGATCTTAAAACTATCCCCCAATAGATGATTCACTTACCTGGCTGCTTGGCTAACATAGGCTTATAAGGCAGGAACACCCCTCAGTACAAACCTGGATTATCCCAACCCTAATTTCTAACCCTAATTGCGCTCTTCTCAATAATGCAAGGATCTAAGACAACTCCAAAAGATGCGTGATAGAAAAGGCTATCCATATCCAGAAAAAGAACTATGG